TTTTTTCACTTTTCCACTTCTGTTTCTCGCTTCTCAAATAGATATCTTTTTTACTTAACATACACGCGAGGTAGAGAAGGGGGGCATTGGGGTTTACGAGAAACCGCAAAACCGTAGAAAAAATCATCCCAAACCGCAAAAAAATTCAATCAAACCCCGCAAAACCCTCAAACCCGATAAATTTTCACATCCCAGTGATCAAACCCTAATCGATCCGACGCAGTGGTGACAAGCGGAGCATGCAGAGGTTTCGCGCCTCTTCGAGATCAGTGGAGGCACATAATTGCCGCTCAGATCTAAGTTCAAAAGTCTATGTCTGCATCTTGCCACTAGAAATTTGAACTTTTAAATTCAAGGAACAATATCTTAATTGGATAATGGCAGACTGATCTTTAACTGGAGTATCTTGATATCTTTTGTAGCTCTCAGTCCAACTACAGCAAAGCAGTGAGTATTGGGCACAAAAAGTACGGGATTTAACAACGCAGATGGAAAATCAAGAAATATAACAACTACTCCGCTGCATTTACTCCGAAACGACTCTAAAATCCTTGGAAAAAAAGTTCACATGTGCTACTTAAATTTCTTCTTCAGTTCAGCTATATTGTAGCTTTCCTCCACTTTGGGCTCTAAACCAGTAGAGGGAGAAAATTATATTCTTTAGTTAGTAAAATTGTTGACAATTCTAGTGCTAAATTCATTATAATCTTTTCATAACTCTTTAAACTTTGTTCCCGCTGCTCTCTCTTAAGTTGCCGATCGTGGGCTTATTCCCGGTCAGCGGCTGGTTATCGCTCCCTCTCTCTTTACCAAATTTTGTCTGAAAGGCACCTTCCACAGTAATGCGTTCTCTAAGATGTACAGTTTCGTCTTCCTTTTAAACAAAATGAACTGGTTCAACTCACACCATCGTTTTTTACTTTTATTATCTGTCCTTACTGCCTTGTTTCCTTTTGAAACTGATACTTTTTAGGGCAATCATAGAACTATTACCTATCAAACATTTTATTTTTTTTGTTAAAAATCCGTCACTGTTTTCAAATTTATCCCTGGCTCACTGCTCACGCCTCTACAGGTACCTCACCAGCGACGTCACTTCTACCTGTCATTGGACAGCGTTTAAGGCCCATATTTAGCAATTAAGGTAGATATCGTAGATTGAATTCGCAATGCTTTAAGTGATTTGCTGTTTTTTTTTTATTTTTTTAAATGATATACTAATGATTATTCTGTTATGAATCATCAAGTAATTCCGGCATCAAATCAACCTGGTTTTATTTCCCAACGATCTTGCCAACTTCCTTACTACGAAATTTGAAAATACAAACAGTAGCAATCAATAAATAATCATCGAACCCGCTAGAAATTTGAAAAAAACAGCGCCATTTACGTGTGAAAAGGTTGCATTTGTCTGTAACGAAAAAGATGATGGTCAACGGAAAAGTGTAGTTATAATAGAATGTCTCATCATATACAAAACACTTGGCTGGTACAGATGGTTCTAGGAACCTCGCGTTTTATAAAAATAAACACAAAGACATATCGAACCAGGAATTCGAGGTAGGTAAATTAAGTGAACAGGGGTATTTTAGACTGCACTGCTTTTCGCTTTGTTCCTCTTACCATCTTGAAATAGATACGAGTTCCTGTCTGTGAGGTAGGGGAACAATGTGGGGATTCTTCATTTTTTCAACGGAAAGCGACTGACTCATTTGACTATCGTTTGTCCCTAGCTCGTTGTCTGAAGCGGAATTATATATCCGATGAATTTTCATCCGCTATTTTGGGCATAAGTTTCTAAATTTAAAACCTAGATTTTCATAACAGTTAGGTAAGACTGGATAAAATATTAGACAAACTTATTTTGCCTTCCTTGCAACTACTGAGCTGCGTCGGCGGGTAAGTAAAACACTTAATTGATTATCAACTAAAACCGGTCGATTGAGATAAACAACCTTAGCCAAGAGATTATAATCTCTTGCCTTAGCTAATATAACAAGCGTTAGACTCTTCTTACAGTAAATGAAAGTGCGCCTATATTAATTAAAAACGGTCATTTTTAAAAGTCCTGGGGTCAAGGGTAACAACTGCAATATCTTAACGTCAGCTATTGATAAAGCCAGCTAATCTTTCAGATTCTTTGAAGAACTACAATGGAGACATAGTATGATGTTGATAACAACCAGCTACTGATATGCAATCAACCGTCAGAGGCTTTACCACTCTTACCAGTAATGCTCTGCCATTATTAGTGAGAGATGAAACATTATACTCGATGTGATTTTTTTTGTGTCCCATGCCACACATATATCACAAACTAGTCACGCGATCGAACCAACAGCAGTTGCAGTGTAGTTATAGATCACCACTCTTCGATCAAGAAGATAAAGTTAATTGGTTGCCCTCGAAAAGTCATTTGATGCTGTTAGTAGAAATTAATTAGAATACATAGTTATTTAAATATCAAACCTTCTTGTGGTATCGCTCTGGAAAGATTCGCGGAGTTCTCCTGTAAGTGTGTCGTTTTCCAACTCTGGACCGTTTCTGCTTATACCTACCAAAGCCAGAGTATTTCTAATTTTCACCCAAATGAGCTATTATTTAGTACATGTTAAACATATTCACACATCAACACAAAAGAATTCGGGGGGGGGGGCAGCCAAGGCAATAGGGTACAGTGGTAGCAAGAAGAATCTAGACCACTTCCGAGGTCTATAAATACGGAAAAAGCTTCACTTATTAAAAGAATCGTTTGAATATTTGCTTAGTCGGAGACTCACCGGGGATTCCATGGTTCAGCGGTTATCGAATGACAGGGGAATAGTATCATCGATCGATACGAATCAATAGGGGCCCACAATACATTTCGTTTCCTCTTTCGGTTTGATGATCATTGGACATTGATTAACTTTCAATCCTCCGTAAAAACCTTCACTTTCGCTTTCTGATAATAGATGCTTCATACTTCCGTCTTAAAGAAGAGCTGAAGAAGAAGAGTTCCCTCGATGCCTTCAAAATTACATGGCGCAGAAACACGCAGGTTTACCAAACGAGACCGTCTTCGTAGAGTGTCGTGCGTTCGTCTTCTACCATCAAGCGGGACATAATCGTTGGTTGGAAGTCGGAGACCCGAATGTCTACTCAAGAGTACAACTACTCGGCAATCGCCAAGGCGGAAGTACTGGATTGTATAGAATTTTTGGAAGATTGGAGTCGTCAGGAATGGTAAGTTTTCATGACAGATAGACTTCCATTCGAGGCTAAAAATAGTCTCATTCTTGTAAAGTACACTCTGAAGGTTTTCAGGGCAATACGAGCAAAACATTTTATCGCAGTTCCTTTGGAATAGGTAGAATTAATACGTGGATGTTTCTCGACGCTGAAAAAACTCGTCTCTTAAATATGATTCGTTCAACACCACGAAGAGCACGTTGGATGTGATGTGAGATTACGAACAACCCGCGTATCCGGGTTCTCCGTATACGTTCCACGGCAGTGGTTGAATCTAAAAAAGCTTTCGAACCGCCATTTTGCTGGCATACCACTTCTAAATGGCGCTTAGAGCTTAGCTAAGAGCTTTTAACTCCACTTCTTGTGCTGAGTCAGCACTTTCATGAAAAGATGGAGGACAAATATAAGAATAAAAATAAATATGAGAAAAAATATATTTAGATTTTGTAATTCAGTCCGGCATGTTTTTCATTACGTGCACTGGAGGGATTTTTCTTCTTTATTATAAAGAGCCTTGAACTGCGACAGTAGGTAAAGATGTAGACGCCTTTGTGTTAATATGGATAAAAGTCTTTTTTTTTTCATGAAACTCTTTCCGTTATGGAAGTGGAGTTTTTGCTTCGTTCCTTATACGTCAATTGTGAATGGTGGGGTAGAGATCTCGCATCCTGGTGATGAATCGAGTCGCTCGACACGAACCAAGGTTTGACTGTATTGATGGTTGAACAACAACATAAGCTTCTAATTTTCAAAAACTGAGGACTTACTTAGTACTGTAGGGTCAATAGCTGCATGGTAATACGACATATGACTTCATGTTAAAACATTGTGCTGAGTAAGCCCATGCTAAGGTGCCAAACAACATTCAATGACACGTCAATCGTGGAAGACACTTCAACGCCTAGTGTTTGTCCATTTGAATTACTTCCACAGGAAATGTGCTTTGTAAGCACATTTCATTGATGCTATTGCTCAAATAACTTTTGACCAATCAATGCAGTTTACATAAAATAAATTGAGTGGGACTTGTCCCTGAATTGTACGTGAGCACATGATTGTGATATGTCATAAAATGAACTTTGAACATTTAAATTCCTTCAAAGTGTGATGAATGCTGCACCTTTACGTGAAGTGTAACTTTAAATGACTGTCTGAAAGCAGCTAACACAGCACCAGTTGTGAATTTTGGCTCAAGGCACAAAATTGGCAATCAAGTATCAGTTACATGCTATTTGAATCAGTAAATTCACATTGACTGCAAGTGAATTTGTGATGCTGCAGGAGAATGCAGTCTTGAAAAATTTTGATGGTGATGGTGAACTTCTCACCTGATAATTCGGAAGTATAGCGTAAACTGAATGCAATGTGATTAAATAACTACGTGATGGCATTTCAACTTCCCCTTGCACAATTGCTAGGATAGTTCCAGTTAAGTTAGGCAGCGGGAATGAGAAGCATTTAACAGAGCAGTTGTTTTTCGTATATTGGCAGTGTATTTAGCTCAATTTCAAAAACTATACTTGTCTTGTTATGGTCATAGTCTTTGTGCGATGAAGTTTCTACACCTTAAAAGCCAATGTGCCATATTGCCATTCTAAATTATTTAATGATTCTTTAGGCATATTTCCTCATCAATAAACAAATATGCAGGTACAGCTTTAGACTGACTTTTCAATTTGTTAGTCATTAGTAAAGTGACAATTTAGTCCTAGCAGTTGAATGAGTTAAATATTTGCATACAAGAGATTTCATTTGTGGGAAAAGCCTCTCATAGAATATATTCATGAGAATATCAACATGTTTGATACTATTTTTGGTCTTGTTATCTTTGTTTAGAAACCTTATTGTAAGAAGGAAGCTAACAATAAAATTTATCAAATGAGGAAACTATTATTGTGCAAATTCTAAAAGTCAGTTTAAATTACAAATTGAGCCAACATTTAATGCTATTTCATTGTTAAATCTCTAAGAGCTCTGAAAATAAATTGATTTTTTAGATATTAACAACTTTTGGAGATTCCGTATTTTTTCGTGATATAATTGATGTACTGTTCAGTTTATGATTCAGCCTTGAATGCAAACAGAAAGCATACTAGCTAAATTTGAGATTTTACTAGTCTTTGACGTATTCACTAAAGATACTTATTTTTTAATGTTGATTTGCAATAAACCAGATTCGACTTTTCTGTGGCAGTTAATTTCTATATGCCATTGTGCCTGTTGATTGTTGCCAATCAAGTTTCTAGGAATGAAGCTAAGATTTTAACTTCTTTGTCCTGGTTTGTGAATAAAATAAGAGAGATGGTAAATGTTTTTGTTTGGTAAAGATATAGTGAAAGGTTTTCATCTTGTCACGAGCATGGAACAAAGAAAAAATTCTGAGTCCCCATCAGGAATTGAACCTCAGACCTTCGGATTCTGCGTTCCAATGTTCTATCACTGAGCCACAGAGACTACAGAGAGCGAGGTCTATTATAAAGTTCAAATGACTCAAGTCCTACATACTGTTAGAATCAGCAATGTCAATAGCGTCGTATTTGTACATAGAATAAGAGAGATGGTAAATTTTGAGCTCGGTAAAGATATAAAGAAAGATGTTTTTGTCCTATCGCAAGTGTGGTACAAAGAGAAATTCTGTGTCCCCATGAGGTCTGAAGTTCAATACCTCATAGGGACTTCGGATATTTTCTTGGTCCCATGCTCACGACAAGACAAAAAACATCTTTCTTTATTCTTTGTCTTAGATTTGTATTTATAGTATTCATTCTCCTATCAAGTTTAATTTGTGGTGTGAATTCATTACATGTCAGGGCGTGAAATTAATTTTTTTTTCTGATAGCCACTTGGCTCCTAAATTGTTCAAAGTGGTAGCCAATTAAAAAAAAGTTGGTCGCCATTTTCAAAGACAAACAAAACCTTTTTTTTATGCTGTCATCGTTCTAGAAATTAAGTCAGGGAAAAGATCTTTGACTTCTGCTACAAAGTGGACACTAGGATGGATGATATGCAACGTTTAAGCTCACCTAAATCCTAGATGGCGTCTAGTTATTGATCGAGATGCATGTGTTGCATTTTGGAAACAAACTTAACGAGGAAGTTTGCTGAGGATTTGTCTTTGCAAATCTTTTTAATTCACTCTATCTCTAGGTAAGGTTATGATGAAACATTCTAGTCGCTAATTTGGCAACTAATTTTCAGGATTTGGTCGCCAAAGTGAAAAATTTAGTCGTATTGGCACCTGTATTAGGCACAATCTCATGCTCTGCATGTGTCAAAAATGGTTGGAAAAAAGTATACTCAAAAAGTTGTGATAGGATTTGTATGCACCCATTTCATTTTGTTCTAAGCGTTAAGTTGTTGGAGGTTTTTTAAAGTGAGAAATAGTTAATTAAAGAAATTGTTTAATTTTATGTTAAAATGTTTCATCCCTTCGTTATCTAATTGGCAGACTCTTGTAATATGCAGGGGGCTTGTTACATAAAAAACCTCTGCCATGGGTTAACATGTGTATGAGTTCTCCATGGCTCACTTGACGCATTACCATGTTCACTCTTGTTGAACTCCACTTATAATTGTGTGCCGCAGACAGAAGCAAAGTTATAAGTTAATGTTACTTTAAGTAAATTCTGTATTCAATCAGAAAAATGGGCTATTTTTCCCAAGATAATGAGGAAAATATGAAGTTCTTAGTACAATGCAGAAATCTACACCATCCAACTTTTTTATGTTCCCATCGTACTGTTCATAGACGGGGCCTTGACTGAGTAAACCTAAAATAAATGCTGCCACCAATCAAGGCCTAATTTATGAACAATGTGATGGGAACATAAAAATTTTGTTGATGTAGATTACTGCATTGTGCTAAGAATTTAATTTTTTCCTTACTATCGCAAGAAGAATAGTCCATTTTTCTGATACGGTATCCAGCCGCTTGGATTGAGCCAGACTCACACTGTATGCCTGTATGCCCTGCAGCTCATAACAAATGTTTAATATCTGTCCTAACAAAGGAAAAGTTCTGCTAACTGTGATGTGCAGCCAAGCCTGGCTCAAATTGTGAAGCAGAATATCAGATAAACAAATGAGTTCTATGTTTGTCTGGTAACAGATCATTGTTGACACAAGAAGAAAAAAATAGTTGTAACCTGCTCAATGCAGTCTGCCTCAAATCCCTTGAAAAGTACTGTAAAGCGCATTAAAGCATTTAATTAACATTTAACTATAATTTCTTAGTATAGGTCAACCTTTTATGACCAAAAAATCAGCCCTAAAAAATTACCCTCAACTTATACACAAGTCATACACAAAGACCTGACCCAAGCAATGTAAGAAATTTGCATAACAATTGCCTGGAGTCCATTAAGAAAACCACGTGTACAACACCAGTTCCAATTGTGTTTGAGTTTTGTCAGTTTTCAGCACATTCTTAGTCAACAAAACAGTTTGAAATAACAAATTTTAAGTGGCTTAAACACAAAGCTACTGGACCAGATTTCTTTTGTGTCTTTTGATCTGTAGAGCTGACATTTTTTCTTACAGCTTTGCTGCTGTTTACGGTTCTGAACTTTTGTTTTCATCAAACAGTTACAGTGGCTTAGTGACCCAGCAAATGCTGTTGTCTGGCATGGTCTTGTTACACGTGGTTACATGTTGTTCTGCAGTTTTTTTTTAATTTACTGTGTTTTCAACACATTCTCAGAAATATGAGCTTCTTAACTAGAAATGATGAAAAATCTGCTTTTTGACCTTGAAAATGGGGGGTTGACTTATACATGAGTAAATATGGTATTATATGACATCAAAATGTGCTAAGAACAAAAAAATTGGTACACAAGGCACAGCCAAGTGTGTCACTGATGTTTCTACATTTTGTTGTCTTCTGTGACCTGTTACTGTGCAGAGTCACACAATGTGGATTTTGTTTGTTTTATTTATTTTGCTCTTTGATGATAAGAAAGCAAAAAGTTGTTAATGGTGAAGTCATTATATGTCTGTCCTCCAATAGATCATAGGTAAGAACCAGTCAAATTGCATGTATCACATAATATGTCTAAGCACTGACAGGTAACTTTATCTTCAATTATAGCCAACACTAAACTTGCCATTAAGTGAGAGTATGATATACCAGGTTGTGCAACCTACCTGGCATCACATTCGTCTTATTGGGGGAATCATTTATGGCTTGCATTTTGGCCCTGACTCTAATGGAAGCCATTTCTCAATCATAGTTCAGAATATTTTACGGTCCCTGCAAGGTAAGAGATATATCACTTTATTTATGTTTCATTATATTTGCTAAGAGGAATATTTGTGGAAGTTCTTGACATAAATTTTTGGTATACTAATAATTTGTTTGACCCCATTAGACTTGACACTGTAGCAAAATTCAGTAAGGGTTTAAGAATACAATCAAATTTTCAATTAAATGTCTTTAATTTTATAGTGTCCTTCTTTACACTGACAACTAGAAATTCTTAGCTTGGGACTGAAATTGTTCTCTTGAAGATTAATTGTGTATGATGCAGTAAGAAGATGGCAAACTTTATTTGTGATCTGACAAACCAATTTGTTTTGAGTAGGTACCCAGAGCCTACCAGTGGATCCACGAGCAAACTGGACTGGGGCTTCAAACCCTCAACCTCCATTCCAAAATACACCACCTGCTGCTCCTGCTCCAGCTCCAGCACAAAAATCCTCAGATCCTTCGTCCAGAGAAGTGTTAGGTGCTCTTAAGGCTCGAGAAATGAACGATGCAAGGATAGGTAAGTTCTTTAACCCTTAACTCCTGGAAGTGATTAACATGTAACTTCTCCCTAGAATATCCATACATTATCCTGCCAGCAGGTAATGAGAATACTCAAACTGATAGGGTAGAAGTTGTTATCTTGATCTCACTTCCAATTCTCAACTAATTTACAAGGAAATGTGTAGCAACCAGAAGGGAGAATTAACAATTAGATCTTGGAAGTTAAAGTGTTAAAAGTTCTGAGAGGGGAATATGATGATTAGAACCTGTTGAGATCAGAAGCACTATAATCTGCTCGTATCTAGTTATTTAGGTTAACACAACAAGAGAAATCCAAATATTTGTAAGTTACAAAGGAAATAGTAGGAAACAATTTATGTACTGAATGATTTACTTCAGACTGTTCTGTGTAATGCTACAACCTGGGTTTTTTTGTGTTTAGTATGTAGATTGCTTTTATTTTCCTATCACTGCCATCTGGAAAAACAAAGGGAAAACAGATGGGAGTGTTGTTGAAAGAGTGGTTCCCTTAGAGGGTGGATGCATCCCTTATTTACATAAAGCTATGTAGTACTATGGAAGAAATTAATGAGGCTTGAATAAAGATTTGTTCAGGAAAGGAATTTCTGAGAAACATTAAAAATATATAGGAGTCATAGTACCAGCATTATTTGAGTAAGGGAACTGAGTTATACGGCGTAAAGTTCGTATTGGGACCACGTTGAGTTGTCAGGAGAATGAGCAGCTTTGTTGGTTTGATTTGTTGCATAATAGGTGATTTATCTCTACTCTTGAAAAATTATCTATAATTGCATATTTACTGTTACGATATTCACATATAAGTGATGCTGTATTGCAATATTTCAGTTTTTAAAGGTACTGGAAATTTTTCACTTTTGAATTGTGTTAAGAACAAGTCTCTGTAAGAATCAAACATCTTGGGAAATGAAAATTTTCAACCCCCCTTCAAATTTTGCATACAGTTAGGAACTCAGGGGGGATGCACAAAAATGCCCTTTTTGAAGGTGGCAGCACTCTTGTTGCCATGGTAACAACGGCTGCTTGTTCGAGTCCTGGGGCCTCATTTTCATACAAAAACGTTGCAAAAAAAAAAAAGAGTGAAATGTTTATTTCTCTATCTCAAGCTAAATACAACATTACAAATTGGCACTTCTACCATACATTGAAACATCATTCGTCTTCACTTTGACACATTTAATTTTCCCTTGGAGTGAATTTATAGGGGCAATTCGCGAAAAAAGCTCAAAATCAGATATTGCATAATTTGGCGATGTTTACATCTAATGTTCTCAACAACAAACGTTTCAGACAAATGAAACTTGCGAGGCTTTGAAAGAATGTTATCTTATGAGCAATATCCCGAGGAGAAATCTCCCTCTCCGCTTGCTGTACTGCAGGAATACTGAGTAGATAAAAATCTCCACATTGTGATGATTTTCGCGCGAGTCGTTGTGGCGACTGGGTTTTACATGTAGTACTGCCGCTGACAAGTTGCGATTTCTGCTCTCAGATTCTCAGTGTTTACGCTCGTTCAATCGAAGTTTTCCTCTTTTTTTTTTGGTTGTTTTTACTTCAGAAAGCAGAAATCTGCTGACATATATAAAAAATATCCATTTCTCGTCTTCTTTGGAGCGACCGATGGAAACTTCATGGAGAAATACAGCGTCACGCCATCGTGATAACGTACATGTTTATGACAAATGACCAGTGTGAGGATAGTTTCGTGTAGATCAGCCGACTTCAACATGTTTCCAATGACATACAAGTATAACAGAGTATCTTCAGAGGATTTCGGATCGCTCAAATTCCTATGAAAGAAGGTGCAGCACTCGGCATCTGGATGATATTCACACGATTTGAGGTATATGTTTGTAGTTACGTCGAGTTGTCCTCCATGAAGGTTAACTAATTTTTTTAAAAGATGACAACCAGAGGCGAGATTTCTCCTCGGGATATTGCTCATAAGATAACATTCTTTCAAAGCCTCGCAAGTTTCATTTGTCTGAAACGTTTGCTGTTGAGAACACTAGATGTAAACATCGCCAAATTATGTGATATCTGATTTTGAGCTTTTTTCGCGAATTGCCCCCTATAAAAAGTAGATGCAGGCCCGCAGAGATTTTTACATATTTAAAAACTAGAATATTATAACTAGCTAGGTGGGTAGTTTCAGTTCCAGAATAGGTGTACTTTTGGAGAAATTCAGATAAACGTTTTCCCTGTTTTACCCGACAACAAAAATGACCAACACTGTACCGAGATGAATAATCTATTGGTGTGTTCACATTCACTCCCAGGGAAAATTAAATGTGTCAAAGTGAAGACGAATGATGTTTCAATGTATGGTAGAAGTGCCAATTTGTAATGTTGTATTCAGCTTGGGATAGAGAAATAAACATTTCACTCTTTTTTTTTTGCGACGTTTTTGTATGAAAATGAGGCCCCAGGACTCGAACAAGCAGCCGTTGTTACCATGGCAACAAGAGTGCTGCCACCTTTAAGAAGGGCATTTTTGTGCATTCCACCTGAGTTCCTAACTGCATGCAAAATTTGAAGGGGGGTTGAAAATTTTCATTTCCCAAGATGCTTGATTCTTACAAAGACTTGTTCTTAAGATCCAGAAAAAAACATGTATTTGTACCTTCTTATAGAGGAAAGGTTGGGAGGGGGGAGGGGAAGGGGAGTCAAAACCTTTCTGACCTTTTAAAGAATACCAGTTTTGCCTCCTAATTTGTCATAACAGCGACCCCTCCTGATCAGTGACATTGTTGGCTTCTATGAAGTGAAAGTACAGGGTCGAAACAAATTCACAAATGTGGCAAAGATAAAAAGGAGAAGAGAGCAAAACCTACAAATCACTGGCTGTACTTCCAGGGTATTTTAGTGGTTGAGACGAATGTGACTGGGTAGTGTGGTCGTCCCCAGTGGGCGAGGGAATCGTTTATTAATCGAATTTCACGAGTGTAATTTGTGGAAATGTAATGGTCACTTTTGTGACTACTACTGAAAATGTTGGCTGTAAGACTAAAGTGGTGTTTGTGAATTGTAACTGATCAATCCTTTTCCCGACTTCCAGATATATGTACAGTGTAGGTACTGTTCATGTTATTCATGTCGCTGAACGTCACATTATTAATGGCAGTGCTTGTCGTAGCCACTCGCACACAAGATTGCTCTATGCGATAGGTTGCAACTGCAATGTTCAAATCATTTACTTTAAGACTGTGGTGAAAATTATTTCAGATGCTCTTTGCTCGAGTCTGAGTGACGCAGTCAGGATGGGAGCACAAGATAAAGCGGCCGAGCTCATTAAAAAGTTGGCAAATGAAAAACTTCCTCTCAGCATAAAACTCAAGAATCCTGTTCTGGTGACCATGGACTCAGGAGGGGATACGATCAAGTAAATGAAATGGAATTCTTTTAACGTTTTACGTTCCCCACCTTGCTCCCCTGGAACTTCGTAGACACAAGAAGGGCACAGTTTTTGTGATTTACATAAATTTGAGCTCCAATCCTGTTTAGAATGAAAATATTTGCATACATGCAAGCGGCTTCTGTGTTACGTGTTGTGTTCTTCAAACGCGAAACGACTCCACTTTAAGAAAAAGACCTCTAATACACAACGACTAAACTGTAACTAACAAAAAAACTCCAACATACGCAATTTTGAACGAAAACGAATGTTAATAGATTCCTGGACAGTTCTTAACTCCAGTTAGGTTTATATAACTCCTGCGAGGCTTTAAATTAATTGACATAACAGTACGAAGCCACTTGTTAAGTGCTATGTCTTTGGCTATTGTTTCGCTAGCGGGAATGAAATCGTTTCCTCGAAACTGTCATCGAGATCCTCGAAAATTTCCTCGAGCGTCTCGATCCTGGATTCTCGATTCTTGATACGCGAGCCCCAATTCTCGATTCTCGATAGATTCGAGTTTCGAGTCGAGAATGTCAACTTTCTTTTGAGCGGTACTGTAATTGACTAGTTAAGACCATACAGGTGAATAGTGACTATTGACATAAACCTCGTGAAGGATTTTTGTTCGTTTGGAAGGTTCCCGGAAACTGATCAATTTTTGGACTCTCTTTGGATAAGTATCATCGAGTACATGAATGTAGAAAAACGTTAAACTCCCGAGCGACTCTATTCACGCTTTTTCTATCATACCAGAGTAAAAGAGCCTTTTTTTCTTAAGGCGAGAGTAATAACCGATGACAAACAACATACACACGTGATGATATGATGATATGTATCCTTCGAGGTCACCTATGTTTCCTCTTCGCTCTTAAATTAATGAATACATCGATAAATGATAAGACTTACATGTTAATATATATATCAAGTGTAAAATTTTGACTTTCGTAAAACAGTGCTCAATACATAGGAGTAGAGCG